AGGACGTCCTTCTTCACCCAAAGAGTGATTAACACTTGGAATTCACTGCCACAGGAAGTGGTGGTGGCTACAAGCATGGACGGCTTCAAAAGGGAATTAGATAAGCATATGGAGCAGAGGTCCATCAGTGGCTATTAGCCACAAGGTATAGATAGGGACTCTGGGGCAAGTGATGCTCTGTCATCTTGGTGCTTGGGGGGGTCAACAGTGGGATGGCTTCTAATGTCCTGGCCCCACTGGTGGACCTCCTGATGGCACTGGTATTTCTGGCCACTGTGTGATACAGAGTGTTGGACTGGATGGGCCTTTGGCCTGATCCAACATTGGCATCTGTTATGTTCTTATATTGAAGCTCTGTATATGGTCTACTAAGGGCATTAAGTGTCGGCCACGAATTCCCCGTGTGTTGCTGAGGATCTGGGGATATAAGTCCCTGATTTGTTCGTGGTGGTGCTGGCAGCGTGTGCTGTGCCGATACCCTGAAGAACCTGAGTGTGTGCCAGAAAGTCACAGGGGTCATGGCTCAGTGGCAGTTTCTCCTTTTGCAGAAGGTCCCAGGTCAGTGGCTGATGTGGTGCACAGTTGGGGACCCCTGGTTTAATAGGTTCCGATGGCTCACACGAACAAGCCAAACTACAAGGAAAAGCACTGGCCAGATTTCAAGCTGAAATGAGCACCGCTTCCGCCAAGAGAAGAAAACAGCCTTTGAACACCATAACATGCTTATGAAATATAGTTTTTTTAATTTTTGGTTTTAAAAAAAATAAATCATACCACTGAAATGGAGCAACTTTTGGATTCAAAAGCAAACAGTTTCCCCCCCAAAATCCATCCATTTAAACATATTGGAAAAAGCCGTAGAGGAACGGAAGGAGCTATTTAATATACTGCTTTCCCACCCCACCCCCACCATCTCCCCTCCCCTTCAAGCCACCCAAGGTTGCCGTATGAAAAAATAATGTCGCCTCAACGAGACATTAAAATATTTTTAAACCCCCCCAAGGGGGGGGTGTCGTTTGAAATGAAGGAAGCAATTCAAAATCTCCCAGGAAGAAAGAGGAAAACCCGGAGAGTTTGCAGAGCAGATGGGAACACAAGAGTTTGATTCCGGAAAAAACCTCAACAACCCCGAAACTGGGAATGCGCATCAGAGTGGAATGAAAAGGAAAAGTGGAATAAATCCCGCTTTTTTAAATGCATCTTGGCTCAGCCAACCCCGGGCATGAAGAGCACCCACCCCCACTCTGCTCCTTACAAACAAAGGTCTGCTTGAGGAGTTGCCAACTGATCACAAAAGGCAGACTCCTTTGCTCCTGTGCTGTTAACAGCAGCGTCGTCTCCAGAAAGGAGCAGGCAAAGCTTGGTGCGGTGTGGAGATGTGAAAGTGGCCACCTGCAAAGGTCTGTGGGTCAGAAGGGGGAGGAGGTCCGGTCAGTCCAGGATTGGCGGCAGGTTTTAGAGGCTTGTGGGCACAGAATGCCCACAGGCTCCACTCCCAGTATTGTGTTCACACACACCACCTCCAGTTTTGTGGTTATCCCCCCACATACCCAAATTTATTTATTCGAGGTAGGAGCTTTCGTGTGCATGTCTATAGGTTTGAACTCTATCCACTCCCAGTATTGTGTTCACACACACCCCCTCCAGTTTTGTGGTTCTCCCCCGCATAGCCAAATTTATCTGCATTTTATATATTTATATCCCACTTTTCTCTCCCAACAGGGGAAAAAAGTCCTTCGCCAAAGTCCTCTACTTTACCCTCACAACCACACTCTGGGGTAGGTTAGGTGGAGAGGGACTGGCCCAAGGCCGACCAGCGAGTGACCACAGCAGGGCGGGGATTCGAACCCGGCTCTACCAGGCCTTAGCCCAGCACCCTGACCACTACACCACGCTGGATTCAAGCACATCTCCTTTAGTAGTAAGTACATTTTAATCCTGCCCTTCTTCCAAGGAGCTCAGGGCGACACAGATCACTCTCCTCTCCTCCATTCTATTCTCACACCAACCCTGTAAGGTAGGTGAGGCTGAGAAAGAGCCACTAGCTCAAAATCACCCAGCAAAATCACCCAGCAAGCACTCTAATCACCACACCAGCAAGAGGAAAACCCGGAGAGTTTGCAGAGCAGATGGGAACACAAGAGTTTGATTCCGGAAAAAACCTCAACAACCCCGAAACTGGGAATGCGCATCAGAGTGGAATGAAAAGGAAAAGTGGAATAAATCCCGCTTTTTTAAATGCATCTTGGCTCAGCCAACCCCGGGCATGAAGAGCACCCACCCCCACTCTGCTCCTTACAAACAAAGGTCTGCTTGAAGGGTTGCCAACTGATCACAAAAGGCAGTCTCCTTTGCTCCTGTGCCGTTAACACCAGTGTCATCTCCAGAAATGAGCAGGCAAAGCTTGGTGCGGCGTGGAGATGTTAAAGTCGCCACCTGCAAAGGTCTGTGTGTCAGAAGGGACTACACCAAACTGGCATTAGCCTTCACCCCACTCCCCGCCATGATGTCTAAGCTGCAGGGAATGCTCCATTAATCCCTATGGCTCCAAAAAGAACAAGAAAGAATCACTGCAATGTGGTTCCATGTGGTTGGCCGTGTTGGTCTGAAGCAGGAGAACAAATTTAGAGTCCAGTGGCACCCTTAAGACCAACAAAGGTTTATTCAAGGTAGGCGCTTTCGTGTGCATGTCTATAAGTTTGAACTCTATCTTCCTTTCCAATGTACTTGAAAAAAGTGTGCATGCACACAAAAACTCATACCTCGAATAAACCTTTGTTGGTCTTAAAGGTACCGCCGTACTCAAAATCTATTTCACTGTAACTTGGTCAGCACTTATGGGCTGGCTGGGAGGAAGCCTGGATAAAGCAGCAGAATTCCCTTGTGCACTGCTTTCCTCCATTGGGAAATGTGAAACAGATTCGGTTTTCTAATAGGCCCCGTGCCAAGCTGTGGCCCCTGGAAAGTGTCCACCTATCCCGATGTCAGGCATCTGCTTTCTTGGTGAAAGATCTTGCTCCCCCCCCTCCCCAATTTGCCAGGAGTGTCCGAGAAGGCCACGGTTTATACTTTGTGCCCTCCCATTAACCAAGTTCGGGGGGGCAAGGCCCCCTCTCCCAGAATTCCCGGAGACAACAGTGGCCTGCTGAGTCACTATTAAGGGCACAGGAGCAGGAGCTGATATATGAAAGAGACTGCCCTGGCACCGTTGATTTCCTTTACAAGCCCTGATTTTGTGCAAAAACAAAACAAAAACAAAACCGATGGTGCGGTGGGGGCTATTTTTCCCTGTCCAGTTCACTGAGATTTCCTGTTACAAAAGCTTGACCATTAGGGTTTGCCCCTTTCTTGAAAGATCACAGTGCATGCAAACCACATGAACATTTCAAAGCACTTTCCGGTGGTCTCCCAGCCTGAATATTAACAAATGAATACTAGGGGGGAAAACAACCCGACGACGACAACACACAGTATTCTGGGCTTCACCAATGTGGTTTGCGATCTGGGTGGACTTGCCGGTTCCATCCATACAAATACAGAGGGCGTGGAAGAGGCACTTTCCTTTTACAATCAGCTCACCCCTTCTGCCGGAATGGGTTCACAACCGCTTCAGCACTTGGGTTATTGCCTTGGTAAACACACACAAATACACACGTAAAGACGTTACGCGGGTCTGAACGCAGAGCCGCTCACATTACCCAGTCACCCTGTGGCACCCTCCAGGACGGGCAGGACTTCCGCTAAAACATACCAAGACTTGATTGCTGCTGTACGAAGAGGTCATCCCAAAAATAAAGATCAAAGACAGCAGGGGAGTCCACCACCAAAAGCACACCAGCAAACGCATTCGTTCACCCACCTTAAGAATGTAAGAAGAGCCCTGCTGGGTCAGACCGAAGGCCCACCTAGTCTGGCATCCTGTTCACACAGCAGCCGACTGGCTGCCTCTAGGAAGCCAATGAGGAGGATGACTGTAGTAGCCTCTTCCTGCCCATGCTCTCCCGGCAACTAATGTAAGGAGGCACACTGCCTCTGGTACTGGAGGGAGCAGATATCCACCATGACTACTAGCCACTGACAGTGAATTTGTTCACTCCCCTTTTCAAGCTGCCCGAGTGGGTGGCCACGATGATGTCCTATAGCGGCGAGTTCCGCAATTTAACTTTGCCAGACCGCCCCCGGCAGATCGGCATCTTTAAATGGTGAAAGTGGAGGCAAATTTAGCCATGGGGACGTCACCCTGCGACCTACAAGTCTCTGTTTTGTACCGGTGGTTGTGGGACACTCATAGCATCCAAATGGACGCACACACTCTGAAGTGAGTGCATTCACTAACTGCTAGTCACCAGACTTGTCAACTTAGCAGAAAGCCCAGAGGGCTGTCTAGGTCAGGGCTGTCAAACATAAGGCCCGGGGGCCGGAACTGGCCCATCCCGAGCTCTTATGTGGCCTGCGAGCAACTAGTGCAAGGGAGGGAACAGGAGACTGCTCGGGGGGAAGTGGGCGGAGCCACTCTGATTGTGGCTTCAGCATGGCAGAACAACCTCCTCTGCAGCAGTCAAGCAGCGTGGGAGCGCTCGCCCAGGGCTGCACCGCTGGCTCTCCAGTCTGCCCATGTGGGTTTTCCTTTGCACTCCCCTCCCAGCCCATGAGGCCCTGCAGTGAAGATACACCAACTCGGAGCTTACCAGCTGCTGTCCTTTATATCTTCGGTACCTGGCATTACATTTTATGGCACACATGGCCCGGCCTGGCAAAGTGACATTGATGTCAGATCCGGCCCTCATAGCAAATTAGTTTGACACCTCTGGTCTAGGGCAACTGAACTGCAAGGGAACCCAGGCAATTGTGGGGGAGGTGGCCTGATTGCTTCCTGGCATTAAAAACAGATGCTGGGGTAAAGGGAAGCAAATGAACTTAAGCTGGTTTTGAAAGGATGCGGGTGAAGAGGGCATAATTTCTGTTCTACATCAGGGCAGTGGTGGACAGTCAAGAATACTCAGGGGGGAAAAAAGACTCAGAGAAAGAGTTTTGGAGAGGAACCGAGGTGTTCCTGACCCCCTGGGCTACTCGCTTTGCTACCTCGGGTAGCTTTAACGTTTTCTATTTTTGGCAAAGCTTCAAGCAAAGGGACTTTTAAAGTGACCAATCGATGCATCGTTCCAATGCAGATTGCGCACGCCAAAGCGGCAAGAGGCAGTTTTGCACAAGCGCCCTCGCCACCCGAGCAAGGGTACCCCCCCCCCGGGCCCTGCCGGTTCCACGGCCCACGACCCCGGCTCTCACCCTTCCGGCTGGGATATGAAATGATTCACAAGTCGAACGTGCAACGGGCCAGGCTCGGGACGCACCAAGCGGTTACAAAGAGTTAAAGAGAACGCCCACCAACATTGAGACACGTCAATTCACAAGAAAACACAGATCCGGGCAACGCGGATGAGGGCGGGCTCTAGGATTTCTGCGTGCGGTATTTACAGGTCGCGGGGAACCGCTGCCGTACACGAGGCCCGTTTGTGCAGCCCAAAGGGCTTCAGGTTTCAAAAGCTACGGAAGGCCCTATTTCCGAAATTGGCCTGCACTGCTGTCTAGGAGCTGCCAATTAACCAGAATGAGAAAAACCCAGCTTGACCCCACTCCTGTGCCTTCTTGCGTAAGCTTGGCCTGCAGAAAAACTGGCCGGCAAAGTCGTTCACATTAGGGGGTGGTGGTGGAATGGCAGATCGAATGGGAGATTGTGGGGCTTCTGCAAACCAAGCTGTTGCGAAAGGCACAGGAAAGAGGGACTGGTTCACAAAGCAGGGGATCCCTCGACCGTTAGCAACTCGAGATCATTCTGCCGGGACCGCTCGGGTGACACATGTAGCCCCCCCCCCCCTTGCCCAGCAGTGCCCCTCCTGGGCCCGTCACTGCTTGAACGCTGACTGCAGTTCTTTGAAGGCGGCTTTCCGCTGCTTCATCTCCTCCGCCTGCCGCTTCTTTTCTTCTTGCTCGGCTTTGATCTCCTCTTCGAAGCGGCTGGTGACATTTATGGCTTGCACCTGGGGGGAGGGGAAGTAAACCAACAAGTGGCTTAGGGGTAGCAGAGCCTACAGAGTACAGGCGCTGGGTGATTCTGCACTGGCTTTCCCCCTCTGTCAGAAATTCCCCTCTGAATGGCATGCCGCTTTCACTCACTTTGATCATCGGGTTTTATGGTGCCCTCTACACTGCATGCCTCTTTCACTTCCTTTGATCATCGGGTTTTATGGTACCCTCCACACGGCATGCCTCTTTCACTTCCTTTGATCATCGAGTTTTATGGTACCCTCTACACTGCATGCCGCTTTCACTTCCTTTGATCATCGGGTTTTATGGTACCCTCTACACTGCATGCCGCTTTCACTTCCTTTGATCATCGGGTTTTATGGTACCCTCTACACTGCATGCCGCTTTCACTTCCTTTGATCACTGCGTTTTATGGCACCTTCTGCACAGATTTATGGCTATTCAGGGGTGACTTCACAGTCAGTTAGGCGTAGCCCCGGGGTATTTGCATGTGGTTTTGAGCTGCACCTTTGGTAAAACAACGGAGGGAAATGCCAATGCAGAATCGTCCTCCGTCACAGGTCCCCGTATTTATCTTTGGAAGAGCTCAGGGTGGCTTCCTGTAGTCTTTTCTCCCACTTTATCCTCCTCATGAGGTAGGGTAGGCTGAGTGTGTGTTATGGTCAGTGTTCCCTCTAAGCTGAGTTAGTGTGAGCTAGCTCACAGTTTTTTAGCCTCCAGCTCACACATTTTCATCTTAACTCAGGAATGATGGCTCCAGAGTAAACTGATTTATGCAGGAGCCAAATTGCCTGCCCACAACTTTAATGCCAGGAGCTCACAAAGTAGAATTTTTGCTCACAAGACTCCACAGCTTAGAGGGAACATTGGTTATGGTTACTTGACATTTAGAAACGTAGAGCTGGGAGGGAACGCACAGGTCATCTAGTCCAACCCCCGGCACAATGCATGAAATTCACAACTCTCCCCCCACGCCGCTCCCTTGGTGACCCCCTGCTCTATGCCTAGAGGAAGGCAAAAAACCTCCAGGAACCCTGGGCCAGTCTGGTCTGGAGGCAAATCCCTTCCTGACCCCAAAGTGACGATCGACATTTCCCTGGGTGTGTGAGAAAGGACCACGAGAGCCGAGCAATGGCCCATCCCTTCCTGCCCTCTCTCCCACGACCTGTCTAAGTTCACAGAATCAGCACTGCTGTCAGACGGCCACCTAGCCTCTGCTTAAAAACCTCCAAAGGAGGAGAGCCGCCCGCCACCTCCCTAGGAAGCCTGTTCCACTGAGGAACCGCTTTGTCAGGAAGCTCTTCCTGACGTTTAGCCGAAAACTCTTTAGATTTCATTTCGACCCATTGGTTCTGGTCCGACCTTCTGGGGCAACAGAAAACAAGTCTGCACCATAGGCACAGTGGTGGAAATGGCACCAGTTGGTCGGTTTCTGTAGTGGCACCCCCTTGGCAAACCCCCAGCACGCCCAGTTTCTCTCTCCTTACTTTGGCTTCGAAAAAGCTTTTGGCTCCTTTGACACCCTCCGTTGAGACATCGATCTCCGACAGGCGGGCTAAGGCGTGGAGGCCGCTGTCCTCCTCCAGTTCCCCTGCGGCGGCTTTGCGGAAAATCAGGAGGAACTGAAGCGAGGAAAAAAAGGAACACAAACATACGGCAAGGTTAAATGTGTCTCTGGTCCCTGGGAAACCCTGGGAAGGGCAAAACGCTAGACTGAAGAAGAAGAAGAGAAGAGATTGGATTTATACCCCGCCCTTCACTACCCAAAGGTGTCTCAGAGCGGCTTACAAACTCCTTTCCCTCCCCCTCCCCACAACAGACACCCTGTGAGGTAGGTGGGGTTGAGAGCGCTCTGACAGAAACTGCTCTTTTTCAAGAACAACCCTTATCAGAACTACGGCTTGCCCAAGGTCATCCAGCAGGTGCAAGTGGAGGAGTGGGGAATCAAACCCGGTTCTCCCAGATTAGAGTCCGCGCACTTAACCACTACACCAAACTGGCTCTCTGACTTCCCAGGGTACCCCTGGCTAACCACAAAGATCCCCAGAAGTCCCGTATGGCTAACAACACTTCTCTTTAAGGAACTGTTCCCAAGACCACCATATCTTTTTTTTTGCCGCCAAGTCACGGATGACTTATGGTGATCTGTGGGGTTTTCCAGGGAAGAGACGTTCAGAGGTGATTTGCCCTTGCCTGCCTCCAGGTCGTGACCAGTGTTCCCTCTCAGCTGAGTTGGTGTGAGCTAGCTCACAGTCTTTTAGCCTCCAGCTCACACATTTTTGTCTTAGCTCAGGAAGGAGGGCTCCAGAGCAAACTAATTCATGCCGCAGCCAAATCGCTGGCTCACAACTTTAATGCCAGTCGCTCACAAAGTAGAATTTTTGCTCACATCTTAGTGGAAGCATTGGTCACGAACACTGTTCCCTCTAAGCTGAGTTAGTGTGAGCCAGCTCACAGTTTTTTGGCCTCTGGCTCACACATTTTTGTCTTAACTCAGAAAGGATGGCTTCAGAGCAAACTCATTTATGCAGCAGCCAAATCCCTCGCTCACAACTGTAATGCCAGCGGCTTAAAAAATAGATTTTTTCCTCACAAGACTCCACAGCTTAGAGGGAGCATGGGTCACGACCCTGGCATCCCCTGGTGGGTCTCCCACCCAAGTACTAACCAGGGTCAATCCTGCTTAGCTTCTGAGATCTGATGAGATCAGGCTAGCGTGGGCTATCCAGGTCAGGTCAGACCACCCTACAGGAGAGCTCGATTCACAGGTGGAGCTCTAACATGAAGAAGACAGACCCCATCACGCACAGTGGATATGAGCACACACGGCAATCAGTATACCGCAATGTAGCGTAGTGCCGTACGCCCCGAACACAAAACAAAACGCGAGGAGCTCTTTATCTGGTTTCCCGGCCCTTTGTGGGTTTTAATTATCTGCCAGTAGATCTTTTTTCCCTGAGCTTTTTATTGCACACCTATGTAAAATAAGGGTAATGAATTAAAAAATAATAGACAAATAACATCACCGGATGAATAACACCGCT